GGTGAGTACTGAATAGCACCAAGACCTCTGTGCAGTATCGAGGTGGGATGCGGTTTGTGCAGGCAGCAGTGCTGGGGTGTGCGGAAAACAGAGCCAGAGTGCCCGTGTGCCATAGTCACAGCACGACTGCCTCTTTCACAAACACCCTGTTCTTGTATTTGGTTCCGCTGGTCGCCCTGCCCTGGAGGGGAAGGCGCCCAGGTTGGTGCCGGCTCCCTCCTTCCTCCCGCCGCCGCTCTCGTGGCGCTGGGGAGCGCGGCCGTTGGAGCCGTTGGCGCCGCGCCCTCCGCGCCAACCGACACGGCGGCGGCTGCGGGGGCTGCTGGGCAGCTCGCTGCGCGTGCCGGAGCGCGGGGCCCGCGCGCCCCAGCGTGCGCAGTCACCGCGGCGCTTCTAAACAAGTCCGACTCTTTCAGTGGGGCAAAAAAAGGGCCTATTTCAGTTTTCAGGTGTAGTAAGGGTCGTATGTGGCAGTGCCTACTAGATAACAGGGCTGAGCATAGGGCAGGCAACCACTTATTTTATATGATGTACGTAGATACGTAAGAAACATTTAAATATATAATAAAATATATACAAAACCATACGTAGATTGCCTCCATACCCTGGCTCAATATCTAACAAAGGCACCGGTGCCAGCAGGGCTCACAAGAGCAATCCCAAAGGCGGAGTGTTCAGCTCCAACCTCACCTCCGTTGCCCCCTGTCACATCAGCTTTGCTTGTGGCCCTGCTGCCCCTTCAGCACCAGTTCTGCAATAGATTTCTTGATTAAACAGTTTATATTATTAAGTAACATTAGCTCCTATTTCTGAAAGCATCACACCTATGTCTTTCTTATAGCTCGCTGTGATTTTTAAGGTGACAAGAAAAGGTTTTAATATTCTAGATTGTGGAAGTCTTACCCTCGTTGTTCCTTCTCTTTGAAATCTTGGGAGCTAAATTCCGTTTCCAGTCACTAAATCTAGCTGATTACTTTATACATAATCAGCTTTATCCAGCCAAGTTTCCTCGTCTTCCTTTCTCATAGCTAATGAATGTCACTTTTGTGGGAAAAAAAAATAGCTGCCTTTGGCCGGAAGATTGTGATCAAACATAGATTTAAAATGAGTTATATTCAGTTACCCTGCCGATGTTCTACTCTCTTTCTACTAAATTATAAAATTTCAAAAGCATAGAATACAATAGTAAAAAGTGAAAAATACAGTAGTAGCTTGCATGATGAAATTTGATACAATTAAAAAAGGATCTTATCAATCAACAGTTCTATTATGGCATTTTTATACAGTAATCTCACATATTTCATTTTAAATTTCATCTCTTCTGGAATTAGAGCACATGATATCATTGCATGGAACTGTTTTGGAAGACAATAATATGTTTGAAAACTGATCATGTTGGCTTCTTAGAACATATGGAAATATTGGCATTTTTTACCCACAAGGAAATTGGATACAGCTTATTTTGAATTTCCAAGTCCACTCATATCAATGTGCATCTTGTATTTGGCAATATTAAGTCTAAACCTTTCAGTGAAGTACAAAAAACATCAGCCTATTTCCATTTTCAGGTGTAGGGTTTGCAGTAAGCATTGTATGTATTTGATCAGCATATGGCTTAACTAATCTGAAAACCTTTTCCTATATAATTTATGCAATTAAAAAAAACGTGCTCTAAATAGATGGAATTGGGAGGTGATGCAGCTTGATGAAAGGCTGCCGAGCAGCGTGGCTCAGTGTCTTTGTGAGCAGCAGGACAGAGCTGTTCATGTGGCGCTGACCACACGAACATGTTTATTGTTCAGCTGAGAATCTAGCTATAGTCCGTTTAAAATACTGGAGGTAACTGCGACCTACAGATATATACCTCTTGAGCTAGGAAAACCATCCTCCATTCAAATTAGTAGTAGGCTTTGTTAGTCCTTTTTATATAAACTGTGTATATATTTTATAACAGTGCATTATTTGTTTTTGGACTTCGTACTCAATACATTTTGCATTTTTCCATATATGTGATTTTTTCAGTCATAATCACTATAATTCAACTCCTTGAAAATACATTAAGAATGTTCATAATTCCCATGATTACAATATTTTAAGCAGAAGTTAATGTTTTTGTTATCTAAATGCCCTGAAATGAGCCAAGAAATAAAACTTAATTTCAGATACTGTGTTCATTAGTGTTACTACTACATGCTTAAGTAAACTCTACAAAAACATTAAACAAAACATGTAAGTAAATAAAACTCTTCATATGATTCACACCTACGCTGTAAAGGAAAAACTTCAAAGTGTTAACCACTTATTATTTGAATACAGTTATTTGGAAACATCAGTACACAGTAGTATTTTATGATAAGTTTTCCTTCTATTGAAAATATTTACTTCATATATATACCATGAAAGAAAGGGTGGATTTAGTATAAAAGCTGGAGACATCTTTTGGGAAATATATTTAGCTCTTGTAGACTGAGTGGATCTGCTCATCCTTTCCAAGAACATCTCCGTGGTGCTGTTTTCTTCCCTGCCTTTTACCATCTAGGAAAGACATTGGGAGACAGTGTACACTGTGAAGCAGCGAGCTCCATGGTGCAGCCTGATCAGATCAGCTCTTGGTACATCACTCTGTTTTTTAATCTGCAGTTTCAGAGAGGAACCTTGGAAACCTGTAGGGAGCTTATTCATCTAGCAGAGCACTCGTCGTTTTGCTGATTGCCTTGTTAAGGAAAAGCAGGAAATACCAGTAAGATGGAAGGCAGCTAAATTCCAGAATTTCATGCTAGTTGGGAAGTTGTGTATCTTGTAAAAATACTAGTACTGTTTTGTACAATGTTTTGTGTTTTACAAATAGAACAGCAGCTCAACGGCATTACTCATCTCCTCAGAAATCTTCCTTTCTAAGAATTTCTTGCATATTCCATAAAGTCAAATGGTTCTTTTGCAGGGAAGGTCTTGAAGTCTTATGCTCTACCATACGGCTGGAATTTTCATTTCTGACTGCACCATGATTTCTCCTATTGTACTTTGAAGCCAGCATCTTATTATTTAAAAGAATTTAAAAAAAAAAAGACAATTTTTTTTCTACTTTTATTTTTCCTCTCCAAATGAATTTACTTTAAACATAGGGAAGCATCTTTCCATGTGTACAAAACATAAATCAGTGCAGAATACCTCATCAGTTGAACACTTCTTTTGTGGAAATTAGTGAGAAAAATACCGTTTAAAATTGAATTAAATGATTTAAAGACTTCTTAATAGAGGGTGAAATATTTTGGAGATCTGAATATTAATACAGTCTACTGGGAGAGGGATGCTCATATTTCTAAATTTCTGTTCTGCTTGGATACAAACTTTAATCTATTGATTCTAAGCTCTTTGTCAGACTGTGTGCATGCATTTAGAGCAGTTGTTTTCATTTTTTTTTCTTTTTTTTTCTTTTTTACATGATGTGAATGCAATACTTTCGATTCTCCTTTGTCTGAAGCTTCTCTAAGGAGATGCCTTTGCCCAAATCATACATCGGAAAGGGTATTTTCTTGGGAGAGAAAAAAAGTCCTCTGAAAACCTGGCCTATGCATGATGGCATAGTTTAAAATCGGTTTAATTCCATATGACTTCTCAGTATGTTCTGTGGGCAATGACCAATTGAGGACTGGAAAGTATGGGAGAACAAAGTTAAAACTGGTTTCAGTTTAATGCTATTTTTTTTCACTTGGAAATAATACTGTGTATATTAATATAATAGTGAATATATAAATAATACTGAACTTGCTTCTCCACCTTCATGTCATATTCTTAAAACGCTAACACAGCCTCTTACTGTGTTTGTACATAAATGGCCTAGCACTTCCCCCAGTTGCATCCTAAGGAATGCAAACTACTTTTTAGCTGAATTTCATCTAACAGAATAACAGCAACACCAGCAAAACTATTATTTAAGCTTTCCATTTAGGTAAGACTTAGTGTAAGCCCAGCTATGTGAATGTGTCCAGAGGATAAATTATAGATAATTTCTTTATAACGTAGTTTTTTTTTCCTGTAGAAGAGACCTGTGCATAATATTAGGACTCAGGTGCTCCCATTGTCCTGATGCTCCTTCCCACCATCCTTGAAAATATTCCTCTGTGTCTCCTGATAGCTTGGGGAGTGTAGGTGAAAAGATTTAACGTCTTATGTATTTACATAGCTATGATGTAAACTCTCTTATCTGGTTCTGGAAGCTTATGTCTTAGCTGCTCATCTCAACTTCCTTTAGGGTTGATAAAAGAAAAAATAAAATTTGTAGGCACAATGCATCTCTTCTTGAGGTGACCATCTAAGGTGAATACATGTGCTAGACCCTAGGGTTGCCCAGGGGTGTTCAGTAGAGAGAACCTGAGTGTGGGAACGTGCAGCTGAACTGCAGACCTACGCAAAGCACACGCGTGCTCTTGCTGGGTGCAGTGATTCCCCTTCTGTTCCTGTCCAGGGACCTCAGACCAGGCCTGTTTCTGGTCAAGGCCGGATCATTTCTTGATATTACTGTCAGCACATTTGCTCTACTGCTTGAACAGTATGTCCAAGAGGGTCTAGCTAGCTCTTTTTTACAGGCTTAATTTGGTAAAATTTTGTCCTAAAGTTATTAGTTTTCAACATTGGGCTTCCAAGCATTTGCCTTGTTTGAAAATCTGGTCTGAATTATCAGCAGCTTATTTTTTTTCAAGCTGACTTGCATGTACCTTGCAAAATGTGATTGCAAGCATAACTTAGTGATGTTGGGGAATTTTTTTATGGCAAACTATGACACGTTTTTCTTTCCAAATGTATTTGTTTTTATCAATTCTGAAAAGTTCTGTTAAGTTTGCTATGGAAAAATCCATTGTACACATTCTTAGAGATTTAATGTAGATGGTAAGTAATTGCTATTTTTTCCTCTATTTTTTGTTGTTTTTAAGTATAACTGATCACTTCCCTTCAGTGTAAAAAAATACATAGAAAGAGTAAGTTTATGTTTTTAAATACAGGCTAGAGGAAGAAAAGAATATTTTATCAGAATTTGAAGACGACCTGAACAAGTCACTTTTATGGTTGGAGGAAGCAGACCGTGTTGTTGGTATTCCTCTTCAACCAGGGAATGAAGACCAGTTAAGAGACTGCCTTGGCAAAGTGAAGGTATTTTTGAGTTTTATTCTTGCCATTTTCTTAATTTATCGGTTCTGAATTAAAGAAAACTACAGGTGAAGTCTCAGTGAAGGCTTTCTCCTCAAATATGCCATTTGTGTAACTTGATTAGGTAAATCAAACCCAAGGAATTTTACAAATCTCGTGTAGAAATATACAATATAATACAAAAATGGGACAAGTAATGTAAACTGTACTGAAATGATTTTTGTACTGTCACTTTAGATAGTTTTCCACATTTTTTGTCATAATTTCTTAATTCTGTAGATTTTGAGTATTTGAACATGATGTTTTCATGTGTAAAACTTTGCTCTATAGATGTGGCTTTTTTGCCTCTTTTTGCCTTCTCATTTATGAAATGATATTCAATATTTCATAAATTTCATTTTTGTTTCTCTGTTCTGTATTCTCTTTCCAGACACAACTTTTTAAATTAATTTCCACCCTAAAGAGATCTTTCCCTATTATTTCTCGTTTATTCTAACCCTACAATCCTCTTGGCCTATCCAGAGCTACTGCTTCTGAATGGAAATATTCCCTTATTATTAGAGACCTATTGCTATATTAGCCTACTTATATTGCCTCCGAGGTGGGTTGCTACCACAAGTGAAGGTATTGAAGATACCTTCAAGCCAAATATCTGGCTTGAGGAGATGACCGTAGATCATGCAGATAGGCATGACTGTATCTTGTGTAAATGAATGTCCGAAAGAAGACAAAGATGTATGTGTTTATGGTGAGGTTTTTCAATGCACCGTATAGTTTACAACCATGATTGCAAGTTTAATCACTATTGTTTAGATCCTTGAAGGTTCCCAGTCCTTGTTTGTGCACAAATATTTCACAATATTTCACTATATCATTCCCAAGGGGTAGATAGTTCAAAATTAAAGGTGCCAGCATCTTTTATTTATACCTCATTTTTAAATTCCTTCTTTTCTTTTGGAGCTACACAAGAATATATCCTAATGACAGGAAGGTTTTAAATAATACATCAGGTTTCACTGTGGATAATTTCATAGCTAGTTGATGATGTAAAGGAAAACATGCTGAAGAAATTTATCTTTTACTTGGGTTAATCTTATTTGATATATCACGTTAATTTGACAATGAAGGCTCTCATTTACTACATACATGATGAAGAACTGGTAGCTTTAGATGATGTCTTGTCTCTTTTGGCTTTACTTGATGTTTTTATAAATACCTATTTACGTTCTTATTTATGAGCTTGGACTGAGGAACTTCACCACATGTTTGTGGAGAGTTAACATGAAATAGGCAGTGCCCCTCCTCCAAGGTGCTTGCTCTTTGCCATATTAAAATATGAGTAAAATTCATGTATGTGAATGGATAGGAATCCAGGGGTTGGAATCTTTTATGTGACTGTAATCAATATTTCTGTCCTGAGAAACTCTTTATTTGAGCTGCTTTAGGACTCTCGAGGCTTGGCCTGCTAATGCTGTCTCTGTTTATTGGCTTTTAGCCACGTACATTAAGAAAGCTGTGGCTATTTTGTCTTCTACTGGGTTTATTCCTTCAGCTGATAAACAAATCGATAAAGATGGAGATAAGAGAGTTGAAATTTCTCCTACAACCCATGTTAACTGTTGTGTTTGTCTGTTCCAGTTGAAAGTTGAAGAGCTGCCCCCTCACAAGGCAATACTGAAGCGGTTAAATGAAACTGGAGGAATCGCACTTGGAAGCGCATCGTTGAATCCCGACAAGAAACATAGTCTTGAGAGTAGGCTGAAGGAGGCTAATCATCGCTGGCTAAAGGTTCGATAGAAACGCCTTATAAAATTTTCATCTGTAACACCTACTTGCATTACATATTTTCTAGCATGTATTTTTCCTGGATGAACATGCAGAGACATTTGCGTTCATAATGAACTGGAGGAAAAAAAACATTTACAGTACAGAGCCATGAGGCACAATGACAGCATCCCAAGATCATGGGTGCCAGAAGTGCTGATGTTACATCCAAACTGCAGGTCTGCTGCCTGTTAGTGGAGCGCAGAGCAGCCGTTTTGTAGCCTCGCTGTTTGGAGGGTACCTCCTCCAAAGGTAACTTCTGTGGCTCAAGCCTGAGAGAGGCACTAGTGAAAGGCTGATTACGTGTCTAGAACCAGTGTCGCTTCCCAGTTCTTTTCCAGACGTTAAGGTGGATCCTGCAGGCCACTGTCTCCCGTTACAAGGTGGTTCTTGCAGGTGTGAGCTTTGAGTTCTGTTTCCTGTGTTGCAAGGTCCCACTGATTTTTGCTTTGGGAGTTCGCTGTACCTGTGGAGAGAAGAAAGCAAGGTTTTGCCATAATTTATTGCTAAAGTAGCACATTGCTATGCTGAAAACTAGTGACTGATGTGTGAAGAGTGACAGATAATTTAAACACTTCCTACGCAGACCGCGTGTAATTCACATTTCAGAAATAACTGTCCATAGGGTCATAGGATATGAATTAGCTTGGCCTGAAAAGATAGATGTAAAATCTCTAAAGGGTTGAAAGATTTCCCTGTTCCCTAGAGACTGATGAGAAATGGAATATCCATCTGAGGTATCAGTTTGTTAAAGTCATCAGAATTCAATGGGGGGAAAACAAACACACATACACACACACACACACATACACACACAAAGAGGAATTAGTTGTGTTTAACTCTGGGGAAAAGGATGTGGAAATGAATCTTCTGAGGAACTTACTCACTTAAAAGACAAGTTGGAATTTCTAGCCAAGAACACTGCATCCATTTTTTTTTCTATTGTGTTATTTCAGCTACACTTCTGGTAAACAAATGGTATTTCTTTCATGTGAAATACTCATAATTTTTTTTCCTCCTTAACAGAAACAGTTGGGCAAGGTTCAGGAAGTTATCAAAAATGGATAATAAATATTGATTATATTCACAAATTGGAGAGGCTATACAAATTATTATTTAGGTGCTTAAACAGAAGTATCTGTTTCTTTACAAATAGCCTTTCTGAAATCAATGTACATAAAAACTTGGAACATTTCAAGATCAAACTACTGCTATTTACTAGCTGAAGTATATACATGATATAGGCACCTATATTTAGGCACTACTTTGAGCAACTCAGTAGTAATACTAAAGCAGAAAAAGTTTTTAGTTTCAGTAAAATGGCATAAATGCTTTTTCACAGAAAAAAAAAACTTGTTTCTGAATATGAACTTTTGTGATTTTTTTTTTCTCCCCTTTTCTGCCTGATAATATGAAAATATTCTAGGCTACCTCTTGTCACAGTCAGCTCAACTCTGAATGCTGCTGAAAGCAGTTTGGTTCTTTTGAAATATCTGGGGAAAAAAATGATGTTTGTTAAATCACTGTCTCCAGATGTGAAACAGATTGAAGTAGTGTATTTGGCAAGAGGTTAGGCTTCAATTTCATCACTTGAAAGCTTCCATTTAGTGTTAAAAGAACCCTTTTAGATTGTTATCCACCTACTGAGATATATAAAACTGAAATACCTCACTAGCCCAGAACAACTAGTTGCCGAACTGCATGCAGCATGTAGAATTTGGAATAATAGAATATACTTTTTAATGAAATGAAGGGAGGGACTCCTATCCATACATGTTCAGAGGTACCTTCTAATATTTCTGTGAAGGCTCTGATATTCTTGGATGATCTTGAAAGACGAGACTGGAAGGAAAAAACCAAACAAACAAAAAAAACCCCAAAGTTAGAGTATCTTTGTGGATTTCAGTTGTCCCAAAGTGTATGAAAGCAGTAAACAGGATTCCCCCCCCCTCTTTTTTTTCACCTTTTCTGCCTTCTTTTGTAAACTGGAAGGATTTTTTTTTCTTTTACATGCCACTCGCTGCCTCTCTGAGCAGGCCTCGCTTTCCCTGCTTTTCTGGTGTCGGAGAAAACAAGCTTCCTCTTTTGCGTATGAATTTCCTTGTGCCACTTCCTCCTCTGAAACTGCAGGAGCTTGAGCTGCGCCCTCCTTGAGGGAGGCAGCTCTTGCCTCCCACCGTGGCGCCGGGCGATGTCCTGCCCGTGTCCTGACACCATCAGGTCACCCGGGGACAGCTGCGTGGCCATGGGCTTTCACAGAGAGAGAGTTTCTGTGTTCATCCAAGGGCAGTGGGCTCCTCGTGTCGTCACCCAGTCCCTTCCCTGAGGCTTTTCTGTCCCTCCATTCCTTTGTGAGAATATATACATATATATATATGTATATAATGTTTTAATCCTTTGTTTCTAGCTACTCATTTTGTTTTCTGGCATCTGTACTGGAGAACAAACATTTAAGAGCTTACAGTTTCCAATTCTCTCATCTTGCAGGGGGATATTATTTTCAAAATACAAAAAGTGCCTAGAAATTGTTCAGGTGGGTGCTTATCTGGTATCCAAGGGAGTAACACTGTTCTTTTCAGAGAAGCTGTGACAGTTTACACCGGTTAAAGATGTAGCTATGTGTCTTTTAAGGTTGTGAAATAAGTTGTGTTTTGCTTGATCTGCCAGACAGTGAAGGGAGGAACAACAGCTGAGAGTCTCAGCCTTCAAGGTGGCATATTTGAAATGTGTCCCGTTCAGACCTTTATAGGCACAGAAAGTGTTGCCCTACAGCAATGGAAACAAGCCTAGAAAGGGAATTGAGTATGAAAGGAACTGCAGTCACATAAAAGAAGTTTTTTGCTTTTGCTTCAGTATTGTCTTTACTTTTGAGTGTTTGTATCACACGCTGATGACCTTGAGAATAGATATAAAGAGTGTTTTTCTTTGGATAGTAATAATTTTAAGACAACAATTCTCTAGACACCATTATTGAATAATGATTCCAATATGCTGCTAACTCAGACTTAGTTTAAGCTGAGAATGAAGATGAAAACCCACATTTGAAAGCATGACTTAAAGATTTCAGTCTGATATTACTTGTTATTCCTTCTCCAAAGCCAGTATTTCTGGCAAAAATGAAAATTGTGAAAAGACTCAATAATGCCAGGAACCGAGTGCTTTATGACCATCTTTATGCCTTCACATCAAGACTGTTATGTTTATTTTCACAGCTCAACGTATCTTCTACCCCTATAGCCAAGGGAACTAGCCACCCAGTGCTTCCAAGCATAGGAACGGGCAACCAGGCACTGACGGTTGTGATGAATTCAGTTCTTGTCATACACCACCTGCCAGGGCATATAACAGATCCGTAATAGGTTTCTTAGCTTTTACTGTGCAGTAAATGGATTGATAGATTAGGCCCGGCATCAGTGAACCATGGAATCCGAGGTTTGCTGGAAGGAGTTTATTACTCTTTAATATTATTCTTGGTCTGGTGTCAGCCAAGAGGGATGAGCTAGATTATCTGAAAGTAAGCTGGGTGCCAGAAGCAGCGCTCTCCTCATTTATCCACCTTAGTCTTCACAACATCTCCTGTATGTATTATGAAGGTTATTATAAGTGCCTGATGGAGACATTTTGTTTTGCTGCCTTTTAATTTGTCTGCCGGTATTAGAACTAATTACTCCACACTGAAGAGCCCGTCTCAGTGTTTACTGCCACAGCAAATCAATTTGTTGTGCTCTATGAACAAAAAAAAAAAACCAAAAAAACCCACATTGAGTGGAGTGACACGGCTGTAATTTGTGAACATTTTCTTTACCACCAGGAAAAGTATAGGTCTTCTTAGCTTGGCTGATCAAGTGGAGAGGAAAACAGATGGGCCTCGAAAGTACAGAAAGACAAAGTCATAACAAGGTTAGGTCAGGTACTGTAGCTTACCTTGAGAAGTGATTGCTATTGCTCACAGAACACTTGTGAACATCGTGGCATCAAATTGCCAGTGAAAACCAAGTCGTGAAACTTAGTTTGATTTTACTTAGTTGAAATTAATAATTATTATTACTATTATTGTTTAATTTTATTTAAGGCATGGGAGGGATAGGGAACTGGAAAATGAATGGCATGACTTGATTTCTGTACTTTCAGTGTGGAATTACAGTATATTCAGCAGTTTGGGGGCTAAAAAGTTTGGGGTGTTTGTTTTATTTTTGTTTTTTTCCTGAATTTACTTTCAGGTAATAAAAGGGTCCCAAATTATTTTTATGTAGCCAGCTACATAAAAATACATGTATGTTGCCAATGGGGGTCGGCAAGCCTTGTTTGCTAGCTGGACTGACCTGGGGTTGTCCTCACCCCAGGGCCCTGGAGCACAGATATCACTATGGGGGATGCGGCAAAATGGCGATTATTGCGCAGTTCAGTCTGCCTATATACTCCAGCTGAATGCGGAAACTCACCTACTGCCCAATCGGGAGACTAATTTCTACTTTTCGCCTTGTATGGCATGGGGTTATCAGTAAACTGCATAATTTAATTACGCTCCTAACTCCCGTGACATCGCGAGATCTGCCGAGCGCCAAGCCCTAAGCTCTATGCCCTATACTATACTATATCATCTACTTTCGCTAAGCTCTCTACCTTATTAAGCCCTAAAAATACAAAAACTCCTACACATGTACCCAGTGTGGTGGGTTAAATTATCCATGGCCGACTGTCATAGATTGTCAGTTAGCCATAATTTGCCCAAATTTGCATCAGCAGTAGTGAAAAATGGTCTCAGATGTGCCAAAATGAAGGTGTGCCTCTTTCTGCTTGCTTGGGAAAGCATCAAAATGTCAGAGCCTCTGAGGACGCTCTAATGCCAGTTTGTAGATAAGTAGGAAAAGGAAAACAAGTATGTGTGGGCTTTGTTCCTTTAGGGTGGTGCATTCCTAGTAAAATGGAGCTGATGGCCTCCTTTAAAATATATATATATATAT